AATTATTTAGTTTAAGTATATTTTCTGATTTAAACATAACAATTTTCAACAGTTAATTGAAAAAAAGATTTTTTTTAAAAAAAGTTCTACTCATGTCTTACTAGTTATACTGAAGAATAAGGGACCCAGGAACCATATAAGCTGAGAATCATCTACATAGATCATCTAAGCAGCAGCACCTCACTGGTGTGGCTGATTTTAGAAACCTGAGCAGGACTGGACCTAGTTAATATTTGAAAATGTCACCAGGAAATACCAAATCAGCATTTCTAGGAACATTCTGGAAATAAATAATGGCAAACCATCATCTGTACTGTTGCCAGGATGATTCCATGAATATTTCCATGGAGTCACCAGGATTTGAGCTTGACTCATAAGGAGATTTTACCTTTTCTGTTGTGTACATCACATTAAAGTGCTAATGATAGCAGATATTATGTCTAAGTTAAATATGCAAGCATTTTAGGTAGTGCCAAATCATTTATGCACAATGGTCTCTGAATGAGGGTGTACAAAAACAAGTAATATCTTATGCAGTGTTTCTGTATTTAGAGGAGCTATCTCCTGGTAGTCAAACCAATTAGTATGCAATCCCACTTTTCCTTTCTTGTGCATACATAGTTTGCAATGTTACTTATAAGTGGATCATATGTTATTTGCTTTGTGCAGTTGCAACCATGGAGATATTCTCTGTGTAATGCAAGTTACTGTATTAAAATATACATGCAGTAAACCAGGTTCAAAAATATATTAAGAACTAAGATTTTAATGGGATGCTTTGTTTAATTTTGCTCTTGAGACCTTGTCTAGTAGTTCCAGTACTGAAAGCAGTGGAAGAGGCTATAGTGAACGTGCAACTCACATGAAGAGATTTCTTCCAATTTATGTAACTGCCAGTCAAAGCTTTGTGGTGATATGGTGTGCCTCACTGAGTGAATCATAGCTGCCTTATTAAAAAAATATCAATATCATGATCTTTAAAAAATCTAAGAGCAACAAAAATACTTACGGATGAAATTATCTGTGAATGCAAGGCCCCTGTGATATAGAAAAAAATAAGATTTGCTGTTTTATAGACATTAAGCTGTGGTTGAGTATTTTAAAACATATTCAGATATTGTAGATACATCTTAGGAGCCCAATAATCTCACCTATGATTTTCAAAAACATTGTGACAATTTAGGGATTGAGTAGGATAGACTGCAACAACTCTGAGTTTTATGTTTCAGAAACGGATATCCTGGTACCTTTTGTGTGATTTCCGATTGATAAGGGTCAGCCTGAACATGTGAGAATCCAGACCCAAGGCTTGTACTTCTAAACGAGGAGAGACTCCTATCCAGAGCTTTCTTTTTTTCTTCTTAAGTGTCAGATAAACAAGTCTTGGGTTTGGACTAGGTGACTTAAAAGATTTCTTCCCACTCATACATTTTTGATTCTGTGTATACCCAGGAGTATGGGCTGTGGGTAGGGTCATACCTCAAGCTGGGAAAATCATTCTGGGATGGAATATCTGTAAATAGTTTGGGTTTAGGCAAGCATGGGCATAACTTTTAGAGGACTAGTTGAGTAAGAAACAAATACAAGCCTGGTTCTATCACAGCTTGTTTTTGGCTGATAATGGCTGGTGCAGAAAATACAAACTCTGTTAAAGAAAATTGAACAGAAAAATCTCAGCCTCACCCAGCTGTGATACCACATCCATTTTGCATAATAGCTTTGCCTGTTGTATTTCTCAGTCCTGCGCCCCTCAAAATGTTAAGCACAGCTAGTTCCTGACTGTGATCTTGTATATATTTTCTTAAGAATAAGCCTTAGGAGTTCAGTAGGGCTTGTTTCCAGTAGAAACTTTTAGGATTCTAATACAGTGGAACCTCGGGTTACGAACGCTTCTGTTCATGAACTTTTCGGGTGACGACCAGCTCCGGCCGCAAAATTTTGGTTACGAACAGGATCCGCGGCCATTTTCCCTCCCATGACACGGTCCACGGCCATTTTCCCGCCCGTGACACATGGTCTGTGGCCATTTTCCGCCCCTGACACGTGGTCCGCGGCCATGTTTCCACCCCTGACACGTGGTCCGTGACCATTTTTTCGCCCCTGACACGTGATCCGCGGCCATTTTCCACCCCTGACACGTGGTCCGTGACCATTTTTTCGCCCCTGACACGTGATCCGCTGCCATTTTCCACCCCTGATACGTGGTTGTACGGAGGGGGGTTCTCCCTCCAAGCAATAGCCGCATCCCTGTCCTCCATGCCAGAACGGATTAACGGTAATTACATTGAACCTTATGGGAAAATTTGCTTCGGGCCACAACCAATTTGGGTCGCGACCAGAGTCACGGAACCAATTAAGTTCGTGAACCGAGGTTCCACTGTATTACTATTTCAACATTGCTTGCATTCTGTCTTGATCATACCCTCACACATTTGAACTTGAACATATGCTGTTGAAAGGTTATATAAGTGTCCAATAGAGTTTCTGAGGATTTTTTAAATACTAAGTAATAAATGTAGAGTACAAAACAAGTGTTAGATTTTCACAGTTTGGAAGGGCTCTGATTACATCTTCTTATTTTTTTTAAGTTAAACGTCAGTTTTGTCTGCCCTGAGATTTTAGCATTCTGAATTCTTAGACTGTCTTATTAGTGCAAATTGACTGGTATTTTGAATAGAAGCTTGTAGCTATTGAGAAGCAGGATAAAAGGGGGTTCATTCAGTTCAGATTTTTTTCTTTATTCATAACATTTCACAATAGAAGGGCATTCATTATTCTAATTGACTTTTTCCAATTAGGTAGTTCTGCAAAACTGTTTCCCTGCCTCCAAAAGCAATACTTCTGCTAATGTGTGCCTATTGTTATGGACATAGGTATTTAGTTAGGCTTCTTTCTGTTAGACTTAGCTGGCAATTTCTTGTGGCTAGCAGAAAGTTAATCATCAATTTATCTTTCAATCCTTTTTTCCTTGGAAATTCTGCACCAGGTGGGCTGACATCATAAAGCATCTTCTTCTCCATGCATAGACACCCCTTTGTTGATTATTTTCCTTCACATAGGAAGGTACATATCTTCAGCAACCTGAAATTGCCTAAATCCACTTTACTTGCTAGCCATATTCTCTCTCCTTCTTTGATCCAACATGACCCCTCCTGTGAGCTTCTTAGATGATTTTTGTTTCCTTTCCCCTCTTGAGAGTTGTATGTATGTGAAAACTGTTTTCTCCCAGTTCCTTCCCATCCTCAGGTTATCAGCTGTAAATATAGTTGCATGTCTGGGAGATTATGTGACACGTTGACAGACAGTGTTACTCTGCTCCATTCTGTCACATACATGGTAACTGGCATTATCATTGCCTTTATTTTCTGAAACTGATGAACAGGAGTTCAAATCTGCATGGGAAGTTCAGTCCAGAAAACCTAGCAGTCTATTTGCCTGTAATTGCAAATGTCTTTGTACATATTCATTCATAAATAAATAAATAAATAAATAAAAGATTTTAAAGTTTACTTTATGAAGTAATAATGCAAATGGAAAATTGAAGTAGCAGTATCAAAATATAACTTAATATTTTTATTAAAAGACGTACAGATTTTGAAAGAAAAAGAAAGTTACACAGGCTCAGATTGTCATCTTGTTCATCACTCCAAAAGTATCAACAATATTCCATTTAACTTCACTTCTTCTGGAAAAGAAATAATATTTGCAATTTTCATTATGTTCACAATATACTAAACAGCTACATTACAAAACAAATGTAAGATTTCCAAGGACATCTCACAAGGGAGGAACATTACTGCCTGGGGAATGTTATAGTAGTGAACATATTATTGCACAGCCCCTGAGAACTTCTATATTACTTAGAATGAATAATAGTTATATAAAACTGACTGCCTTTGTTAATATTTTTATATGGGCAGGTATTAATTTTCATTATCAGCAGTGAGCAAACAAACTTCCCTAAAACAGTTTTCTGTTTAATGTAAACTACCTTATATCCAACTCTCCCGTGAGTGTAAAAACATCAAACATTAGTTAGATGGGTAGGAATGAAATTTCATCTATAGATGCTGTAAAGTCTATTGGTTCCTATACATGTGTGCAGTACATTCCCTTGGGTGAATTTGGTGGCATCAGCATAAAGTCAGGTTACATGAAAACAAAAGAATGTTCACACAAGAACAAATTTTCTTGTGGTTAAACTGTGTTTTTCTCTTCAAGTGCTGGGGCTTTGATTTTGGTGCTCATGTTGCATGAGTTCAGAAATAATTCCCTTCTCTACTTTGGAACGGGAATTCTACACAAATAAAACAGGATCCTACTTTTTCTAGGCTGATGTCAGAGTGGCCCAGGAAAAACAGAATTAGACTTGGAGTTGGAAAAGATAACTCAGTATTTATTGTGTGCTTTAAGCACTTTCACAAGCACAAAGCTAAAATAGACCCAGGCCTATTCTAGATCTTTGGATAGATTTCCTCCAAATCTTGGAGCAAGGAAAAGGATTTTTATGAAGAAGCTTTGGTGCTTAGAATCCCACCAATGGCATATCTGAGTATTTTAAAGTGTAATCTAAATGGTAGACCACCCCATAGTGGTCACTGTTACTGTGAGAGATGGATTACTTTGGAGATGTCTTGACTTGGGAGGAATGGGGAGTAATCCGCCAAGTCACATGTCCTAAATTTCCTTCACACATTTTAATAAACATATTTAACTGAATACAATAATGAAATAGATGAGAGAGAGAAAAAATACTTCATACTAGATATTTCAGAAGGTTCTTGGGGATAGCATCAAACAATCATGAAGTTGTCATTAGAATGAAGTCCTTTTAGTTTTGTGGGGCTATCTCAACAAATGAATTGGTACTCTGTTTATTATAAAGTTCTGTTTTGATGTGCCAAAATATAATTGTTAATTTCTGAGGACTGAGGAACATTTACTGTAATTTGTAACTCTGCAAATTTAGCACAAAGAAATATTTCTGTCTTACTCTATAGGCATGCCTTCAGTCAAGCTGAACACACAAAATCTCACTGTTGTTGAAGGAAAAAGTACCACTTTGTACTGTGAAGCTACAGGAAGTCCATCACCAACTATAACTTGGATTTTCAATAATATTGTTTCAAAACATGAGGTAAGATTTTAATATTAAAATATATTTATTTGCCAAGGCAGAACTCAAGTTTTGAGCAAGTATTAATACATCTTGACTAGCCTTCATTTCTGCTGAAGCTCACTTCTAATGCAGAATACGTGTACATTTAGGCAAGAATATAGAAATTCATTAGTTTGATACATGCAGGACCTGTTCAGATACCAATTCAGATATGTTAAAGACTACTAAAGATAATCCTTTTCACTCCTTTAACCCAGTCCCAAGTTCTCTCTGAGATAAAAATCCAAATTGCAGAAAAGCAGGGGACGTCTGCATGGGAGACAAGTGGGGAAATATGTGCCTCAAGTATTAGAGTCAGACTTTATGATAGAAGTACAAAATTGCTCTGTTTGACATTTGCCATCCTTTTGCCATCATTGTGGCATGTTGGAGATGACTGTGCACACATGATACTCGTTTAACCAACAATAAGTATTTTGAATTAAAAAATCAGGGAGATAAACAGTCCTAGCAAACATTCCTTTCCAACCCTGTCAATAATAACTCTTTAGTATTATTAGGAGAATCTTTTCAATTATAGCCTGAACTACAGATTAGTATGGGTGGGCTTGTGATAACCTTTTCTTTATATGCTTGGAGATACATATTCTGGTTATTTCATTTTGCTCTGCCTTGTAAAAGAATACCTTCAGTTTGCTAGTCCTCCTCATCTAGCACGTGCAAGACCACACTCTCTTTGGACAAGGGGAAGAGACTATAAAGCCAAAGCATTTGGCAGCTACTGACTCAAAGTATGTCTTGCACTTCAGTGGAGAGGCTTCCAAAGCTTCCTTTTCTACTTGCCTTTCCTGGTAGTTTTTATTGCTTTTTCTGACAAAAGAAGACCCCAAAGTTCCATTGTCCAACCATTTAAAAAGTTCTGTTTGAACCTATATAAGGAACATTCCATACACTTTGATTGTACATTCCAAAATGCAAAAGTTATACCATTTGGGGACCTGTTACAGAAGTGCTGACATAAAAAAGGGCGCAAGTGAAGGGCAAAAAATTAGACCAGATGAATCACCAAAAATTGTGCTGGTGGTGGTGGGGGAGATCAAGGGTTTTACCAATCATTTTATCTTAGTCCCATTGAGTCTCTAAAATACTCGTTCTTGTTTTCCTTGAAAAAAGGGAAGCAGTATAGAGCATACAGATTTTATTTGTCACTCTAAAAATGGTAAATCTACAACTCCTTTCATTCCATATATCCTAAACAATAAGTCTCTCACCTGAAGAATGGTATGCAGAATCAGAAACTAGAATACTGTACAACCTTTTGACAAACACTATTATTGTTTATTTTATTCATTTCTGACCTATCACATTTGTGAAATACTCTGGAAGGTCAAAAGCAAAAAAGAAATTCCAGTAAAAGAACATGACTAGCAAATAAAATAAACTTATTAAAACCTATTGTGGCATTCCCAATCATTTTGGGCCAAAAGCATATGGAAGAGGGCTCATTTCATTTTCTTTAAGAATATAAGGAAGGTTGGGACTGAACCTAACTATGGGGATGAGTGGGAAGAGAGAATTGGTCATGGAAAGCTACTGGCAACCAGGGCAGCCCATTTAAAATAGGTGTCATTCTGCAGTGGTGGCATTGTCCTGCCAACAGTCTTGGCACTGCATTTTATACCAGCCCATACAGACTACATTGTAGTAGTCCAACAAATGGAGATGAGTTAATATCATCAGGGATTCCGTGGTCCAGATAGGATTGTAACTGACATACCAACCAAAGTTAGGCAAAGGTCCCTCGGCCACAGTTTCCTCTTGCTGAGAATCCAGGAGGACTTCCAAGTCCTGAACTATCTTGTCTGTGGGGAACACATCTGCATCCAGAAAAATTACTGTAACCAATATTGATAGGATAGTCTCTGTTTATTGATGAACAGCAACTCCATCTTGGAGAGATTTAAGTTCAACTTGTTTCATCCCATGAACCTCTAGGCCCCTGGTTCCAGACTTCCACTGCATCTCCATGTGACAATATATATAATTGGGTATCATCAGCATATTGATTACACCTCTTTCTGAACTTTCTGAATGTTTAGATGACCTCTCCCAGCAGTTTTTCATAGCTGTTAAATATTATAACAGAGGGCCCTGAGCCCTAAGAGGTCCACATTGGAGAACCCAAGAATTTGAGTGTGTCTCCAGTGTCCCACTGACCTACCATTCTCACTCAGGAGCTAAACCAATGTAAGACAGCACCCTCAATGACTGTCCTTGCAGGCAGCATAGAAAATTACCATAGTCAATTGTACTGAATGCTACCTAGAAGTCCAATAGGTGCGGCACTTCCCTCATCTGTGATTATTATTCACCAGAGTGACCAGTACCATTTCTTTCCCATTCTGGGTCTGAATTGTGACTAAGAAGGATCTAGAAAATTTCTTCTAGGATCCTCTGTTGCTGGTTTTAAACTACTTTCTCAATAACCTTCCCTAAAATGGTCAGGTTAGAAACCGGGTGAAAGTTATCAAGGACATTTGGGTCCAGACAGAGCTTTTTCAAAAGAGAGTGCACAACTGCCTGCTTCAGAATGAGTGGCATTATACCTTCCTTCAAGGAAGTGTTAATTGATTTTCTCCTGAAATCAACTGGGTGCCTTCCCTTGCTTCTTAAGAAGTTAGGAAGGGCTTGAAACAAGCCCGCTGGCGGGGGAGTTCAAACTACCAAGACCTCTTTCTACTTCCTTGGGTTCTACAAGCCCATGTTACCACACAATATGCCACACCACCTTGTTTACCACGGTGGACTCTGTCCAACTGCCATCCAACCTAGACTGGACATAATAGACTATCTGCAAAAAATCCACAAAATCATGCAATGTGTGTGCAAGTGCTTGTTCCACCCATATTAGTAGTGAATAAAGTTTTTTAAAGTGTTTGTATGTAAATTAGTTAAATACATTTGTTAGCATTAATAGTATGCAGAAGATCATACTAGGTTTTCAGCAGAACTCCTCCTAATCTGTGTATTTCTTTGTGTTCCTTCTAGAGTGATACATATAAGAATCCAGCTTCTCTTACTATAAAGAATGTCTCATCAAGTGACAGTGGTGTACAGATTTACTGTATAGCAGAAAACAGTGTGGGTGAAGACCAAGCTTCTGTCGACCTCACCGTATTCTGTATGTAAATAGCATTATATAAAATTTTCATGCAGAAAATCGTAGCCTAATGAAAAAATTGAGAACTAAATTTTTGGAATTTATGCTAAACTTTTCCCAGAAAGAGAGGTAATTTATAAAATGAATATTTGCAAAAAGTGAATTAGATTGAGAATTGTATCCTTTTCTTTTCTGACAGTCATCAATGACTTATAGCCATAATTATCATGCCAGCACACTAATGAAATTCTTCCTTTGAATTTGCTATACTGTTCAGTGTATTTATTACTATATCAGCCACTGAGCAAGGATCTGGGAAATGCCAACGCTAAACAAATAATAATACGCTATAGTCTCTAGGAGGATGTCCCAGTCAATATTAGATTATTTATATTGTGGTCTAAGATAGTCGTCTTATATTGTCCTTTATATTGTCTTCTAAGATAGTCTGTCCTTAAAGGAGATGCAGTTTCTAATACTGCCTCCTACCAACTGCTGAAATTTGCTTGGCAATTCTTACTGTTGATAGTGACCTTAAAAAAGGAATATGAATTGGAGGGTTGCTGAGACTCCATCAGGAGGCATTCTGGCAAAGCAGATGCACAGCCCTCCTGGTTCTCATAGAAGCCTCCAAATCTACTCCCACCATAGCCCATCAGTATGGCAGTCGACAGAGATGGTATGAGTCTATTCTAGCAACTTTTCTTCTAGATAATTATTTTATTATTATACCCAAACAAGCTTATTTTCAAATTTTGTTCATTTTGCCTTTCTGCTTGTGCCTTAGCTTTTTTTGAGCAAGCTGACTGATTGACAAAGAAGAGAATACATGAAATACTCAGGTTATTTTTCATTGTTCTCATTATAGTTGCACCAAATATCACATTTCTTGAAATACCATATTCAGACCATCACTGGTGCATTCCATTCAGTGTGAGGGGAAATCCACAACCTGTCTTGACATGGCTGCACGATGGGGTTAAACTGAATGAATCAGATTATATCTGGACCAAAATACATGTTACCAATCGGACAGAATATCATGGCTGCCTTCAGTTGGACAATCCTACTCATGTCAACAATGGCAATTATACCTTGGTGGCACAGAATCAATATGGAAAAGATGAAGCCAACATCTCTGCTTATTTTATGGAAGATCCTGGAGGTAGTAAGTAATAATATTATTAGAACATTATTGAAGCATTAAGTAGTGCTTTTTTTCATAATGGAAGGATTAGGTTTGATGAGGTCACTGAAAATTAAGCACTTTTTTACATTAATCTATTCACTTGAAAAATTATTTTAGTCCCTTGAACTATTAAGCTAAAAGGTCAGATGATTAAAAAGCTAAAAAGAAAAGATATGCCAATATGATATAGTCTTCCTCTGAGTGGACAGCAAAGTAGCCTTAACTTTCCATGATGGCTTGAAGTATCTCGGCTTAGGATCTTTAGCCAATAATTGATATTCTTATATGGTTAAATTCATTATGAAAATAATATTTTCCTGTTTTCTACATTGCAGTATACAATTAAAAATACATTACTGCCGCTGAAGGGAGCATTTTCCATCCATTTGCTTGCTTAACTTTTACTTTCTTTTTGCCATCAGTCACCAGAGACTACTTATAGTAACTGATTAGATCAGATGGATTTAGCATAATTTCCTCAATGTGAAATTACTGTTTTCCTTTGAATAAAAACAATTAACTCCTGTTTTCAGATACACTTACAGCTAATTAGAGCTTAATTTCTTACATTTACCTGTGATTTTAATTAAATGTGATTTAAGTCATATCATCTTTCTTTTTTATCACTAGTGTTAGCAAAGTTATTAATTATAGGAAACTCTAAGAATGCTGGGATTTTTTGTTTCTTCTGTGATGAATGGATCACATAAATGCAATCATAGTGGTGGAATGATCTATAAATTTGTGATATGTATCGGAACACTTTAGAAGAGAAACTTGGCAGATTAATTGGCTAGAACTTGCCTGCCTATGGGCTAAAGTGGCTGGGGCATGATGGGAGTTGTATCCAATACATTTGAACAAAACCAGGTTGGGGAATGCTAGATAAGATTCTTGCCTTCCCTCAAGAAAAAAAATGCAGTGCATAAAGGGGAAAGAAATAAAGTGGATTGTATGAGGACAGAACTGAGGGAGTGCTAATAGTCTTGTTCTCTTTATCTTGTAACTTATAAGAGTAGGGTAGTACTTAATGCCTAATGCTAAAACTCTATCCTGGGAAAGAAGACTAAGCTAAATGATTCCTGTAATTTATTAATGGCTTTATTCCTCAACTTAATATATCATTGACTTTAACAAAATCTCCTTTATAGTTCTTGAATATAAATGAGCTTGAATATTGTTGGTTAAGGGATAGGAGATGGGGGCTAGTGCCCAACACCTCTCCTTCTTCTGCAGTTCTTAGTACACCATATCCTACTGGCCTCCCTGTCCTGATTTTCTTAGCATTTTCTTCTCCCCCACACTTCTTAGCTGCAGTTATTGCTGAACTCCTAGCATGCCATATCCAACCAGTCTCCCAACTCCGTGACATGCAAGTACCTTTCTTTCACTCCCTCTCTTGACTCCCTTCACTTGCCCACGTTCTTCCCCACAGCCACTTCTGCCAGAACAAAAGGGCTGCATTTTCATAAGTTCATAGAGTTTCATGGACAAAGGACCGCAGATAGGTGAAACTAGCTCTTCTCTGCCTGGAGTAGTTTATACATGGAAAGTTTTGCATATCCTTAGTAGGAAAGTACAGAATATTAGTTAAAATTTTGCAAAGCCATGCTCTCTGTTCCCTTTATTATTCTTTTCAGGCATACTAATACGTTTTTGGATCTGGATCTTGTACAGAGAAGGATGGCATCTTGGGGTAGTTGTCAAATACTTGAAATTCTGGAAGCTTGCTTGTGCAAGCATGTGGTAGTTTGGGAATCAGCTAGTTAACGTCTGCCTAAACTGTGTTCCCAACAGTGTACTCCACTGTGTGCTCTAAATCATATTTTGTCCTTCGAATCTAGATGTCTTCATTGTCCTACAAAGCAGTCCTACAACTCTTCCTGTGCTGCAAAGCTTTGCTTAAAGTGTGGGAGAGTGGCCTGAAAGGTGCAGGTAAACTTGTACCCAGTGGCCTCACTCCTTTTAACAAGAGTTTTAACAAGAGAAATGTGCTGCTCTTTTAGGCTCTGACCTAAATTTAGTATGCCAAAAACTAAAATTCCTCCTTTTTTTTTTTTGGTTATGTAGTTTGATTATCAGCATTCTAAAAAGGACATTAAAATAAACAGTATTTGTCCACCTTTTCCCATTATGTAAATAAAGATAAATGTGAAAAGATAAAATCTGCTGTGATTACATTCAACGCTTTTGTTGCTATTTAAGATGAATACAAATCATTCTTGGAACCTTAGCATGGCTATTGTTTCTTTGCATTGTCATTGTAAATTGTACATTCTGCACAATGAAACATGACAAGTAGACCCACACCCTGGTATTATATTCATTTCCATGCCTACGTGCTAGCATTAAATGTTATTGGATGTTTAATGAGCAGGAATATGCTCCTTGAGATCAGAATTGATTTTATGTCATTATATAACAGACAAATATTTGAATAAGAGTGTGATCTTATACTTGTATACTCAGAGGTCAGTTTCACTGAGTTTAGTGAGGCATATTCTCACTAAACCTTGTAAAGTGTGTACAGAATTGCAGATTTAAAAGATATAAGTTTAATTTATTTACCTTGTATTTTTAAGTACAATTATCATAATCAAACTCAGAAGATCAGTTTCATCTTAAAGATGAAAACAGTTATAATGTGTGCTAAGAATCTGTACTGACTGACAGGTAATTATTCTAATGTCTGCTATGTAAATTTATCATTAGGTATGCATAATATTTAGTAACAGTATTCTGTCTGACATAGTCTACTGTTGCATGCTACTATGACTAAGAGAAATGGTTAGAACTATGCAGGTATAAAAATAGAACTATTAAGCAAATAAGAGAGGCTTTTATTGTCAGTGGTTTATGGGGCACAGTAAACAAGCTACAGTCAGCCATTTTATTGGAAGAGCCTGCGGAAAATTGTACAACCAGCCCTAAGTAGAGTACTGCAGCATAGGAAAGGAATTTATTTCGTCCTTCTCCATTGTGTGGGAGGGTTCAGTGGGGAAAGAAGTTAATTTCTAATTCGCCCTGCTATTCCCAGACCTTTCAGCTGCACATACAACTTTTTTTTTCAAGAATGTGTTGGCTTCATTTTGCTTTTTAACTGTATTTCAAACCATTTTTAGAATGTTCTGACTGGTATGAGGTTGCACCTGTTTGCTCAATTTTTTGTACAAGGCTATCAATTTGCTGTTAGAGAATAATAATACATTTCAAACTACAAAAAGGATGACTTTTCCATTATTAATATTTAAACCAGTTAGTCTTGGAGACAAGTTCATTATCCAGATAATTTGTTAATAGAAAATGTGTACCTAAAAACTGTAGAGAAGATATATATATATATATTTTTGGTCTGGGCACAAACTTTTGAGGTTAGGTTTGGCTTCAGTTCTTATTCAGAGCAGGCAGTATTATTTATTATTATTATGATACTGAAATTGTTTCAAAATTTCTAAATAAGTAATAGAGGATTAGGATACCAATTTGCTTCTAAAGTAGGAGAGACAAAATGGGTTTTGGAACATGTGGGAAAAGTCAAACACTTGCTATATTTCTCTGTCTCTCTCTCTCTCTCTTTTAATATGGCTACTGTTGGCAAATTCAAATAATTTTAGTGATAGCTACAACTAACAATAAAATCACCAGTTTTAAATTTGGAGTAAATCAAAAATGAAAAGATCATCTGGATGTGGATTCCTCACTGGAATGTGTTTCATGTTGCCTTTGGGACCCTTCCCCAGCTCATGTTGGAGGATTAGTGTACAGGTGTACAAATCAGTAGATGATAGAAATCTCCTAATGGAATTGGTGTGCACTGGCCTTTATGCAGTGTTTCTCCTATTTGAAAAAGTGATATAATAGAGACTTTTATTAAATATTCTGGAATATTATATTAAATAATCTAGAATATTAAAGACTTCACTAGCACCAAAGAAATGATGTCCTTTAAAAACTGAGTTCTCAGTTTCTCCAAAAGCTTCTAGATCCATTTCTTTCCCAAGGAAGGCAAGACACCATAAAAATAGTCATCAGAAGAAGTCAGTTCAAGTAAATTTAAGTCTTCCTTTCAGGCACTGTGTGGATATCAGGCCACTTTTTTTCTGAAAAAGCTTGTAGGGCCTCTCCCTTCAAATCCCAAGACCAGGTGGGACAGGTCTTACAGGTAGGCACTTTAGTGTCTCATGAGTAAGCTCACAGAGCTCTTCCTCCACAGAGCAATACCTGGAATGCTGGTTTCCAACCCCAGATGAGACAGAACTTACAGGTAGGCAACCCAGAGTCTCCTAAGCAAGCTCATGTGAGAATTCCTCATAGGCACTTAATAATATATGGATTTTTTTCTCCACTTTATAATAATGGACATTTTGCTAGTAACTAGTAAAATGATCAACAGATAATTAAAAGAGTATAAATAATAAGTATGCCACGTGCATGAGTTGAAACAGGTGCAAAGTAGGGGTGTATACAAAGCAAGAAGTTGTGTTCCTAGCTCAGGAAAAAAAAACCAGACCCACTCAGAACATACCTTTAGAATGTTTTGAGTGGATTGTGTTTTGACAAAACAAAACTTGAAATGCTTCAAGTGTTCCACCATCTGGAACAATGGGAACTTGAAATAACCCTTTTATTCCCTTATTTAGTGTCCTAGGTGGGGTAGTCATCTGTGTTGAATGCTATGAATAACCTGGTGTACAGAAAAAATTATCAAGGAAATGGTTTTTAAAAATTTTCTTCAACATTACAAACATTTCCAAAGCAAACAGTGTAAGCAACAGTTGTTACCGTGCTGTTTGCAGTCAGTGCTTGCACAACAGCCACAGAACTGATCTCAGCAAAAGAGTAGCACCAATAGATTAATTTCAACACAATCCTCCTTTATCACACTGCAACAACAAAAATACACTTTTTTCATTCCATAGTATCTCTGTAAACCTCCACAAATAACTAAAGCAACACAGTTTTTGCATTTGGCAGCGTGAAAGCTGAAAAGCAGAGCCACGTTATCTGTAATGCATATGAATCATGCACATTTCTACATTTGGCAATGTGTCTGAAAAAGAAAACACAACATATCACACATATGGGCAGCTACATCACATTTTAACTCAACTTCACTTTCTTCATAGCAAAGAATATGAAACAATAGGAATTATAGCTATGAGGAAATGAAAAGTCTTTTTCTATATTCAATTGGTTGGCCTTCCAGGATGTCCTCAGTTGTACAGCACATGACATTACAGACAGTACACACTGTGTAACTTGGGCGAGTCAGTGACAGGGCCCAGCCACATCATCAGTGCCGATTAATAAATGTTTGGATAAAGTGTTTAAGTGCCTGGTGATAATCTGGAGGGTGAGGGTAGGGGGTCTTATTTAATCACCCTCCACTGGCTAGTTGGAAAGTCCAGTAACCAATATGCACATGCGCCCAGGACAATAATACGCACCAGTACGCTAAAACAATTTAATTGAATTCTCCTCAATAAAGAAACACTTCTTATTGGGGCATATTTGGGGAGTGGAGGGAAGGAGATGTAGAACTAAAATTAAAGGGACGTGAAGGAATTTCTCTCATACATGAACTTCTTTCTTCCCTCTCAACCATTGCTTAATTAAGTAATTAACATACACAGTATTACTAACTTTAGGGCATAGGATGGGAGGGCAATTGTCTAGGTAAGCAACAATACATTCATGTATGAATCTCAGTCTCAGCATCTGTCTACAATCTCCAACTTCTCTCTCCATGAGCAACATTCCAGAATGGCTCCAAATCTTTGAGCATGTGACTCTCTATCTTATCCTCTCCTTAAGTAGCTGTGCCTATTATTTTATTAGCTATACACTCCCCAAGTCTCTATGTCCTTAAAGAGTTTAAAAACAAACAAGCCACTTGTGGTATGTCGGAACACTCAAAAATTTGGAACAAACACCCCACTTTGTTCCAAGCTCTGAACAAAGCACTAGAATATAGTATGTTTTGTTCAGAACTTGGAGTGTTCCAAGCTAAGATACATATATAATGCAAATACATTTACATGTTTGGATTTATTTGTTCAACAGATAATTTGGGGTGGGGTGGGGTGGGGAGACAGTCTTACCAAGTTATGCTAATCTTGTAACAGTAACATTAAAGAAGAAACTTGCCTTTGTTGATCTTCAGTAAAAGATGTGTATCTTTTTTTTTTCCCCCTTGATACAGACTTTGCTTTTATGGACTGAAAATCTTTTTTCAAGTTTAACAATTATATTTCTACAGCAGATTTCAAAAGAATGACCAAAATTTTTAAAAAAACTGTAATGTACAAAACATGTTTAATATCACAGTCTTCCCTAACATGGTATCTTCCTAAATGTATTTTACTGTAGCTCTCATAAGCCCCAGTCACATTTACTGATTGTGAATTATGGAAATTGTACTCCAACATACCTGGAAGGCACTAAGTGAGGGAAGTCTGCTTTAAGGAGTGGGGTAGACTGTTGTATTACTTTCTTCCTTTCAGAAAATACTGTTTCATAGTTACAGATTCTCTGAAATAAATGATCCCAGTTAAAATCTGAATTCTAGTCTTATGAAAATTGACTTTTGAATTAGTATACTCCAAAGTGAAATTCACTTGTTCCTAACTGTGGAGTAGATCTTCTCTCCCTATGACAGTCATTCTTTACGCACTCAGTCCTATCCTGGGGAACAGGATGACATTCCACAGCAGATCTGAGGTTATGTAAGGGCTGTAGTAGGGAGCAGAAAATAAGAAAACCTTACTATGTGTGCAAGTGTTCACTTTCACAGTTTGGGATTTTGCTCTCATGACATGGGAAATTTTAGAATTAATCAGTTGCTTCTGGCAGTGGTAAACTCAGTTCTACATTAAATATAAAGTTGTCTGTATGCCTAACTGTGATAAAATTACTCCAGTTGTTTCTGTTAACTACGCCGCTATGATATATTTCTTTTTCTTTCTGTTCTTTAGGTAGTCCGTTCTATGATCATCCTGGTTATATTGGTATATTTTCATTTTCTATTATACATATGTACATAACATGTAATAATTAATTAAATGATTGAAGGAGAAAATAGACTATTATACTCTGATATGATTAATTTGCATGCTGTTTAAATATCACTAGAAATGTTTATGATGGGCATGATTCAGCCACTATTAACATTTTTAATATCATTAATTTGAATGTAGAGATGTTGGCATATACTTAATTCTTCCATTAAAATGATGGTGCTCTTCTGCTCACTTTTTAAAATCAGAATAATTTTCTTCTCATTTAAAATTTCATACCATCACCAGTGGTTCACTTCTGAATGCTTTGGCACAAGATATTATTATGTAATCACTGGAAGCCAAATATCTGGCTAGGAAGTAAAAAATTCATTCTGATACAATAGTTAAAAAAAAGAAAAGAAAACTCCATTCCAGTTTCTTAGTGATCATGGAGACTGGTCATGTAATTTTAATATTTCTTTATCTTTAGATAACAATCTTGAGAACTAATCTTGTTTTATTTTTGAGATCTTAATACCCCTGACCCCAAAGAGAAAGCATATTGGATTAGCACTAGATAATACATTTTCGTTGTCACCATTTTCAGATCACAGTATGGAACAAAAGTTGTACAATGTATAGTGATGTATCTAATGTTGTTAAATCAGAAATGAATCTGTTTCTCAGAGCACTTTTTCAAAGGCGCTTTGAATTTTCAGCTTTTTATAACAATCTTTTCTGGTAATTTTATCCTCATTTCCTATATATGCAGAAAAATAAGGCTATTCATATTTATCTGGAAGTAGGGCTTTTTTCCGATATGGAGTAAACTTCATTGTAAGCCTTAGAATTGGCAGGTATATCTAAGTTAATGGAATTGTTATTTTAAAGAACAGTAAATAGTTTTCAGTTAAGTTTTGAATCCATAATTTTATTTACTTGATTTGTGAGATATAGATTTAATTGAAACATCATTGGACAAGGACTGTTTCAAAAGATCAATGAATGATTTTGTTCTTTCAAATGCTTTTTTGTATATTGTTCATATAATTATTAAGGAAAATGGAATAAAACATAATTCTGATCCTATCAGATTATCTATTAACTGAAGAAAAAACTCAACTGAGTTGCATTGACTGAAGACTGAAATCCAATGTACAGTCTGCATAAATTTATCATTTAAAGACTAGTAATATGTAGGACTCATATACTAATTAAAATTACTTAGAGTGCGGTGATATTATTAGATGCATATATAAAACACTATATTTTTGTGTAATTGCATTAATCCTTCTTGGATATGAAAGTCCATCTTGAACAGTGTTTCAATACTCCCTCATATGTTCATGCTGCCAAAGTAGGAAACCTTCTTAATCCTCATAAATAAATACACATTTTAACACAAGTATCTAATTGTGAATCAGTCAGTATAAAAGATAAAACATTATGGCTTTATTCCATATCATTAAAATTGTATATATTGAAGAATAAATGATCCATGGAAAGTTTCAAAATCTATAAAACAAAAGGAATGGGCAATGAAACTACGGTAATATTGATTTCTTTCTGTTTAGGATTTCAACCGTGCATTCTTTCCTCCCTATTTTCTATTTTCATTTCTTGCCCCCTTCCCCACCCCTTAACAGTTAGTTAGCTTTCCAGGGCCATTGAACAAAGGGCCATAGGCTGTTTTGGGTTCTCCTTCTCTTTCCCTCTCCATAGTGCTAAAACCAATTTGCTCCATAATATTGTTGGAAAGTGATGGTTAGCAATAGAAATTGTGCTTTCTAACAGAAAATAGCCCTTATTTGAGATAGATTTTAATAAGGTCTTTAATACATTCTCCCCTATTAAGTCTGGCAGCATTGCATTTATATCAACCATTGCTCTCTCTTACAATTATCTTCATAGCAGAGCATCAGAAAATCCTTTTTCCCCCATGGCTGGGAGACTTTTGCAGTCATCACACAATGGAGTTGAGGTGGAACTAGGTATGTGGAGGGATCTAATGCATATTAGACTCCCTAGACAACAAATGTTGGACAAATCCAGGAAAAAGTTGTCTTTTTTTTTTTCTTCTTCAGTGTAGTGACCGAATACTTTTTATGCTAGTGGAATACAAATTTGAGCAATAAGTAAATAGCCTTTAAGGTGACAAAACTGCATTGAATTCAGTGTTATAATTCTAATTTAAATGAGATAAAACAGCAATTTATAAACTGTTTTGGTACTTTAGCTCTGAACCTTTATTTAAATATTTTTAACTGCCTAGGAAATGTCAATTTTGGGGCAGCTTATAAGTTCTGTTAATAATGAGCAAAAGAGAGTATAGTAGCAATGCACATTAAAATATTGTCCATGACTTTATATTTCTAGATACTTGGTATTACTATGTTATTTTAGCATGGTGAAACTTGTCAGATTGATTCCTGGTTTATGCAAAAAATTAGGAAGGAGTTAAATCTAGTTAAGTCCTCTTCCTGGAAGTATAGGAAGAAGAGAGGGAAAAGGAGATGCTGGTGTCTAATGTTTGTTTGGACTTACAGAGGCTGATAGGGCACTCAATCCTGACTTAGAATTAGGTAAAAGCTCAGTTAGTTTCTCCCATTTCTTTTTCTTCCTCCTTCCCACCCCCTTCCCAAACTGTCAAAAGCTATATTAAAATAATTGCCAGCAACACAGATCAACTTGCTAAAGGATATATTTCAGAAAAGTCAAAATGTTTTATATACTTTGGGAGAAGAATGGCATTACTTAAAGTGATTCTATAATATTCAGACAAAGAATTTCTACCACTAAAATTATTTTATTTTTTGCTTGCTCTATTTCTATTCTTAGATCTGGATACATCATGCCCTCCCACCCCAAAAGGCATTAAAATTCATATAAAAGAATGAACTCAAACTGTATAACTTTAAAAGCATCAACAGAAAACATTTTGTATGGTATCACCTAGTATAATGAGAAACGAAATATTCCTCTTAAATGTTTATATAATTATACTGAACATTCTACCTGATGATTATTTGTTTTTAGTTTTCAGAAATGGCTCAATCCGTATGATCAGATATTTCTATTGGCCCTTTATATTTTGGGCTCATATTCACTCATGTAACCACTCCCAACTTGGTGCCTCCAGATACATTCATTTATAACTCCGGTAATTTCTAAACAGTATCTCTGGAAGGCACCTATTGGAGAAAGCTGAAATAATTAAAGCAAAACAAAAACAAACAATGGCAATTTGACTATTTCTCAAAAGGCAGCATTGTTTCTCACCATACTGCTATTGCTCTGGCCAGCCTGGCACGAGAGAAAGACCAATCTGTGAATTTTGGTTTCTCTCAAGTTCTCATTTGTGCAGTCTTAATTTTGGTTCATCACATTTGTCTATCAATGAATGAAATTTAGAAGAAAATTTATGCAGCCACTGAAGAGCTTTTCAATAATTATTTATTTCTTTGTCCTTCCAGATTCCTACATCAATTAAATTGTTTCCCTATTCCATGGAATGCTAGCTGGAAGTCAGCTTCTTTGCCAGTCTGGAATGTTTTTGCATTATGCAATAATTTAATTTTATTGTATTAAAAGATACAATATATGTTCCAGCTTAGAAACTTCCCAGTTTTACTACATTAAAAAATATTCCCACATCTTTTAAAATCTTTGTATTTCACTTGAAAATAGTTTAGATTTTTTTCTTCAGATTTAAAAGATACACACACCCACAGCCCACAAACAGTGGCAGATCAGAAAAACATCAGAAAAAGCTAGGGAATTTCAGTTGTCTCAAACAATTGTGTTTCCACACTTTTTCTACAGGTATCTCCCTTGTGTCTAGTATTCTGTCCCATAGTACATATGAGTGTACCTTCTTCCCCTCTCTCTAAATATCTGCACATCTCTTCCATGGTTTCTTTGAGTTATTTCCTGTTATCTTAATTCTGAATTGCATGCACTGCAGTCCTAAACAAGCCATATAGCAATGTGGCAAATAAGTAGATAGAACTGAACAGTGTGTTGCAAAATTATTGCAAATTTTAATTTTATGTGTTGAAAGTTTTAGTAGACACACGCACAAAAACTTTACTATACTCAAAGAAAATAAATATATTCTTTCTCTTAGAAGATTATGGAACACCAACAAATGATTTTGAAGATACTACAAATAATAGTAACCAAGTTACTTCTACGGATGTGTCAAACAAAGACAATGAAGATAGCATCACTGTAAGTATAAACATCATTTCCTGGTTTGTAATCTCAGTAGACTTTCTGACTAAGAATCTAGTTGGCCTACGGTATTTTAGCTTGCAACAAGACACTATTTTTAGAGCTTTTAACTATCACTTTGTAACTAAAAGCAATTTTTTTTAGGACAAGCTGGTCAAATTTAGACATAACATTATTTATATAATTTGAATCATACACTTCAGCTGATATTAGGAAATGGTGGCTCCCAAGCCACAACAATGCAGCTTTCATTTACATTTTGAACTTTTTTTTCTTTAGCAAGAAAACTAAAGTATAATACTAACTGAATGGCTGTAGTATGCACTGAAATACTTGAAATGACTAGAAAATTGCCACAATATTGTTTTAAGTCATGTTCATGTTTCCTTCATAGAGACGGCTACTGCATTGTGTCCTCCTTTTGAGCCTGGATTACAGTTTCCAGAACTCTATGCTTTGATCTTATGAGTAAGCTCAGGGTTCTGGTACTTGCAGCCCAAGCACATTTGGAAGACACCAAGTTAAAGTAGCTGTGTTAGCACTAAAGCCTAGCAGACATATTCTAAAATGGCTCTTTGCTAAAGAAGCAATATTTGTATCTTGTTAAGGGACAAATGCTAAGTATTTGGTGTTATCTGTATACTAGTGCCCTATGAAAAGTAGTTGTGGTAAATTGGTACCGTGTACCATATTGTATGTTTCAGAATTTACCAATATATAATACTAATATTAATAGCTAATAGTATTCTAATTAATACTATTAGAATGGTGAAAATTGAAACATTTGTGTATTGTGATACATGATTTATTGTAGCTTGTTTTCTTCTTAGGTGTATGTTGTCGTGGGGATTGCTGCATTGGTCTGCACTGGCTTAGTTATTATGCTCATTATTCTCAAGTTTGGAAGACATTCCAAGTTTGGAATGAAAGGTAAGAGGGATGCTTTTAATTCTTCTTTCTATATGTTTTTCTGCTTGTTGTTTTATATAATTATTTAGATACTTACAGGTATACATTTTGATTCTCTTATTCAAACTACACATTTAAACAAATATGAATAACATAGAGGTAACAGTGCAACATTTCTGATTGAATTCAGTGAGTTTCAGTAGATGGATGTATGGTGATTGGTTCTGACATATAGAAACCAATTAACAGGAAATATAGGTTACAACTTCATTTGATATATAGTTGTATGTGCTGCAAGAAATGATACAGTTATTTTATTTTTGAAGAACTTGAAGTTTGGGGATGTCAAAGTAGTGGGACAAGCTCCTTTTCTACCTTAGCGTTTCTTCAACAACAACACTCCCAATGCCTTTTCCTCACTGACCAGTTAAAGGTCCCGGCAGTGGCAGTGTTTCTAGAACTCCTCCTGGCTAACCAGCATTGGTTTTTATCCATGGATCCTTAAGATAAGGGCACTTTTAAATGACTGCAGAATTCTGATATGTTTTGATTACATTCCTCCAAGAGAGTAGGTATTGTTTATTCATAAAATAGAATTAATTGCTATGTAAGGGAGCTCTCCTACTGCAGAAGAACCAGTGTAAGTAGGGCATATAAATGAGACTACTTTAGGTCTTCCTTTCACAGGTTCCTTATCATAATGAGGTGTTTTGCTTGACTTTTATATAAAGTGAGTTCAAAACGTTGTGTTTTGATCATTAAGAAAAACCAGTTTTCATTCTCAAGGGTGTAGTGAGAGTCAGGCTACCCTGACATTCCTGTGGTGGTAGAAGCAGCTGAAAACCCACACTTTTGTTCATGGAAGTTCTTTATTTAAAATGGTTGTTGCCAGAACAGAGCAGCAGCTCCTGCATGATAGATGGTCCAGTGAACATTGGCTGGCAGTTAACCTATGGACCAGGGAAGAAATCACTGAGGAGAGGGATTGCAGAGAAGCTGCAAACACCACTTCTAAGGTCACTGTCTTAGCCTAGGTCAGTGGATCTTAAACTGGGGATATACTGGGGGTATACCCTGGGGGTAATTTGCAATTGCTAATTGCTGGTTTTTGAGTTAAGGATCCAGTTTGGAACTGCCACTGCTAAGATGCTTGTGCGAAACAAGAGAGTTTTTTTTTTTTGTGGGGTAATGACATTATTCGAGCCCAGAAACAGGGGTAATTGGCTGAAACAGTTTAAGAACCAAAGGTCTAGGTAATTAGTATTACCTAAATAATACTACATCTGAAAAGATTTACTATATTTTGCCCATCAAGCAGATGTAGGCTAACATACTGTTAAACATTCATATATGAATATTCTGGTGCATTTTGCAGAGCACAGAATCTCATTCCTTTTCAGTTTTTCTTCATGGCTGATTCCTTTCCCTCCAATGCTTCGGGTTCATTTCATAGCACACCACTTTTTTACCCCACCTTGGTTATTCTGAATAGGTAAGAGGAGAAATATGGATTTGAGTGGATGTTTCAGAAGGCAGACTGTTGAATATCATGTCACCTAAGCGCATTCCAATTTGCCATACTCTTTCTGTTGTCTTTTGTAAGTGTCCCTTGCCCCACTTGCTTCCTAATCTCATGAGTAATAAAAGTAATTTCATATACACACACATGGGTGTGCACGCATGTGCGCAAACACACACGTACGTACGTACGTATGTACGTACATATGTTTTTGCATAGGGATAGGATCTTGGCCTCAGTGAAAATATATGACCTTAGATCTTTATGTTAGAAAACAGATGAAAATGAGTGAGTAAATTATATCTTTTTCTTAATAGAAATAATGATTAAGCATTTCCACATATACTGCATTCATCCGCACATTTCCAGTAAGCAAGGTTATAATTAGGCCTTTGCAGTGCCTTCAGAAGAGGGATTTGGAATGTGTGGAAGCACATAAAAGAAGAGTCTTTTCAGATCTTTAAAGCATCCCTGTCTTTTTTCCAGGCTTGCATGGCTGTTTGTGAAGTTGCTTTGGAGCAGTTTTCAGAGCAGCCACATGATCCTGGAAGAAGACATGGCTGCTTTAACAATAGGAAAAGAGGTGCTTGGTATGTGCTCTCACTTATTCCAAAGCACCTTTTACTGAGGAATTGCACAGCCCTACTTATAACTACCAATCACTTTTTATAGGCTGTATAGTGTAGTTTGTTACAGTTTTTCTCTCATTTGAATATAAAGAGTATAAAGGAAAAATATTCCTACACTTTAATATAAAATCCCATTCTTCAGATAAAAAGATTTGTGTATGTCTTGAGTCACTTTTTCTCTGTAATTTTAAGGCCAGTACAAGTCAGAGCTGTTAATAGCTATGTAGAAGGAAAGGATTACAGTGGAACCTCGGTTCACGAACTTAATTTGTTCCGCGACTCCGGTCACGACCTGAATTGGTCGCGACCCGAAACAAATTTTCCCATAAGGTTCAATGTAATTACCGTTAATCCATTCTGGCGTGGAGGACAGGGAGGAGCTATTGCTTGGAGGGAGAGTCCCCCTCCCTACGACCACGTGTCAGGGGCGGAAAATGGCCGCGGACCACGTGTCAGGGGCAGAAAAAGGCCGCGGACCACGTGTCAGGGGCAGAAAAATGGCCACGGACCACGTTTCAGGGGCGGAAAATGGCCGCGGACCACGTGTCACGGGCGGGAAAATGGCCACGGACCGTGTCATGGGAGGGAAAATGGCTGCGGATCCTGTTCGTGACCCGAGGTGGAGTTCGCGAACCGAAGCAAAATTTTGCAGCCAGAGCTGGTCGTAACCCGAAAAGTTCGTGAACAGAAGCGTTCGTAACCCGAGGTTCCACTCTATTTAGAAGTCGTATTTCTCAGATTCTGTAATTTAGGTTTCTTAATTCATTTTAAAAGAAAGCTAAAAATAAAATCTATATATACACTGGGAATGTAGTTTAGAAATTTTTTAACCTATGCTTATAGTTTTAAATTTTTTAAAAATATGGGTTATATATTAGAAGTACCCAATACATGTTAATATGTGATGAATATGATGATGATGATATGATGATGATGATGATGATGATGATGAAAATGTGTGTTGGGAATTACTTTTTGATTAATTACAATTAATTTTAATTAATTACAAATTACTTTGCATGTTAACAAAAGTGGTAGAGTTAATGGTTAGTTATAAGAGAGATATGACAACTATTTTGAGAACATTTACTCCTTGTTTGAGGTGTAAAACCTATTTAAGACAAACTATGTAGAAAACAGAAGAGAACCAGTTTGGTGTAGTGGTTAAGGCAACCGAGAGACCATGACTTCTAGTCCCACCTTGGGCATAAAGCCAGCTGGGGGACCCTGGGCCAATCACTCTCTCTGAGCCCGGGGAAGGAGGCAATGGCAAACTACTTCTGAAATCTTGCCAAGAAAACTGCAGGGACTAGTTCAGGCAGTCACTAGGAGTCAATACTGACTTGAAGGCACCCCCCCCCCATGTAGAAAATGCTTTAAAATGTTAGAGGAGTCTTTTCTTTGGCCCTTTCTGCTTTCTAGAAGAATTGCTGCTGGGGTTTTGAACAATTAACGTTTGTCTTTCTCCTGTTTGCTTGTTTATTTATTTGCTTGTCTTGTATTTATTTGTTTGTTTTCTGAATGGGCATAGACTAAAAAAGCTCTCTCTCTGAAAAAGACATCAGAGAGCATGGTATAAATATGGAAATCTTTTATTTCACCTGTAGGGGATTTCAGACACTAACAGTTCTTATGGCCCTTTGATATCTGTAACATGTTCTTTCTGTGCTCTCATGACAGTTCTGGAAATGGAGTGAATAACAGGTAAAATCTTAATAGCAAAGAATTGCTTGACTAATAGCTTGACTAATATATGATGCTACAATTTAACACAGAGTTAAGGGTGCTTGTGCTCATTGACTTTAAGTGTGTTTAATGCTTCTTGGAAAAGGGCCTCCAAGTTTATTTCAATCATAAAGAGCAGTAATGGACAAGTAAAAATAGTTGTAACACTATCTGATCTCAAATCATTAGTAAGGATATCATGAATATCGGCTTATATATGCCTCCTCTTCTCTCTTTTACTTTAGTTTCAAAAGCTGCTGTAATTAATCTTATTTTCTCATCAATATTTCTATAAGAGAGAGCCAGTTTGGTGTAGTGATTAAGGCACTGGACTAGAAACCAGGAGACCGTGTTAGTTAGAAATAGATTTGCAGACAAAGATTTTTGCTAATTGCAGAATACTGTATAGAAACAATACCTTGGCTGATGCCTCTGAAAATGGAAATGTATTTGTTAGATTTCAATCAGGAGCTCAAGATGGCATACATAACACTTCCTCCTTCCATTTTTCTTCAGAACAATTCTGTGAGATAGATTGGGCTGATAGGCCCTGACTGATCCAAAGTCATTCACGGCAGAAGGTGGGCTTGAACCTGGGCTTTCTTGGTGCCAGCCTAAAACCTTAACCATACACCATTCTGGCTCTCTTAAGTGCCCACATATAAAGGAAGCACTTTTAAAGACTATAATAAGAATGAATCAGTCAGTTGCTATAAATATTTCTTTAGTTTAGTCTTAAAAGTTTAATTATCTGGCTAAAAGTGTGATTTATTTATTTCTTTTAACATTACGATTTATAGAATCATATTATAGGGTAGTGATTTTTAGGAGTTACAACATCATAACAAAAACTTGTGTAGTGTTGATGACTTATTTATTATTATTCATGGCAAGTGAGATGATGAGGAAAGACATGATCAGTAAACTTTAACCCTTACCCAAAGCCCTTTAACTCAGAAGGAATATTGTTGAAGTAGTTGAAGCTCATACTTCTGGAGGTGATCAGCTGGGGAAGGCTGAGTTATGTAACTGTAGTTTTTGCTCAGTAATTAAACAACCATTTCATGAAAGATATTTAAAAAGTATTCCAAAGAAACTATATTCTAAATAAACAAACTAAAATGTGCTTGATAAGCATGAAATAAAAT